TTGGTGGGGCTTTTTTGTGGGTGGGGGGGGGGGGGGGAGGGGGAGGTAGTAAAGAAAGCAAGCTGACCTTGCCTGCACCACCACCTCTTCTCAACGCCCTACCCAAAAGCAGCTCCAGGCAACTTGGGGCACGGATGGCTCTCCAGAATGGCCTGGCTTGGCTCACAAAAACATGAACATGACAGCAAGACCCCCGAAGGGTACTACCCTAATGGATGGCTTGCTAGCTAGCAAGGTGCTAAATCCCTGGACTGGACGGCTCCCTACAGAGATGGAGGGGCACTGAACTCCGTATCTCGACATGCAGAAAGTGGGGGAACCACCATGAAGACCTAGAGGCAGGTTCTAGACCCACCAGCCAGAGCCTTGAACCACAGCCCTAGCCAGCATGTCCTGAACCTGGAGCCTTTCTCTCAGCAGACAGCAGGCTACAGGATGGTTCCTCTCCATCAGGAGCTTGTCCAGACTCCAGTCACACTCCTGCACAGGCAACCCCCTCGTTTATATATGACAGGCAGCAGTTCCACCTCAGCTCCCTAGCCAACAAACTAACTCTCCCCACTCCCATCTCCTCTACTGCCTTGTAGAGATCGGCCAATGCCCATCCACAAGCCTACTCACCTGTGTTGTTATGGGAGGAACCCCGAAGAACACCATCACCCATTTGTACCTGGACACAGTTACCCAGCGCTGGACCCAGGGGTGGAGGCAGTGGTTCCTGGGGGCTTGGCTGTTTGAGAAGCTCTGTCAGTGTCCTGTGGAGAAAGAAAGGTGAGGGGACTTGTAGCCCCCTGCCTCTCCATCAGCCAGATGAGGCTGGCCGTAGCCACCACTGTCTCACTTTTTTGTTTTGTTTTGAATTATTTTATTGTGTATTTTATTATTTTATTATATTTATACATAATATAAATTATGTGTACCACATGCATGCTTGGTGTCCTCAGAGACCAGATGAGGACATCAGATTTTTGGAACTGGAGTTCCAGATGGTCACAGGACAGTGGTTCTAACCTTCCTAATGCTGCAACCCCTTAATACAGTTCCTCATGCTGTGGTGACCCCAACCATAAAATTATACTCATTGCTACTTCAAAGCTAATTTTGTTACTGTTATGAATCATAATATAAATGGTTGTGTTTTCTGGTAGTCTTAGGCAGCCTCTGCAATAGGGTCATTCAATCCATAGGTTGAGAGGCACTGTCATAAGCCACCATGTGGTCGCTGGGCAGTGAACCTGGGTCCTCTGAAAGAGCAGACAGTGCTCTTAACCATTGAGCCATCTCTCCAGTCACCCATGGGCTCACTTTGTATCTCTGGGCTGTTCTTTGAGTCTCTCTGGGCCTCCCTTCTGTTCTTTCTAGTGACTGACTTCGGGTAGTTCATTTCCCCCACCAGGAATGACCTGTCAGCCTCACTTGTGGCCCCAAGATGGCCATCTCCCAAAGCAGGTCAAGAAAGTAATGAGGTCATATGGAACTAAGGCCACCTTGTGTTCCTGAGGCTCCTTCCTGTAGCTCACTCTCCAAGACCCTCCCTATTGAGCCTCCTGTCCCAACCAAGCTCTCTGCATCCAGTATCCTTCTCTTCATCTCCTCCCATACTCTTTATTCATTCAGATGCTGCCAGAGTCCCTCCTCCAAGGACTCCCTTACCTGCAACCCTGCAGTGTGCTTAGCCTGGCATCTAGTTGTCACACAGGCAAGGAAGGCAAACAATGAAGAAAAGAGGGGAGCCACGGAGATCCTTCTGTGGCAGCCCTGCACCCAAAGGCTGTGTGACCTTGGGCAGCTGCCTCCCTGGGTACCCAGAACACCCAACCCCCACCCAGCTGTGACAGTGTCTGGCTAAGCCTTTCCCATAGGCAGCCCAGCCTTCAACCCAGCTGCCTGCAGTACCCAGAACCATGATTTTCTCCTATTCTGGTTGACCCTCCTTCGGGGCCTGGGTTATGACTGATTAATGAAGAGGCACACTGGAAGACACCTGAGGTGGCCAAGGATTAGCTGCAGGGTGGCAGGGTCTAAAAGGGTCTGCAGCTGACTTCTCCTTTCCCCACGCCTCAGTGGCACATGCCAGTTATCCCATCACAGGGCAAGCACGCATAATTCACCTCTCCTAAGTAAAGAAGGAGCCATCATGCCCCTGGGCCTTTGCACAGACTCCAAAGCCTGACTCCAATCCCCTCCAAGCCCTCTGAGAAGCCTCCCCTAGCCAGCCCTCCCAACACCTCTCTGGTCTGCCCCTAGCCTTTAATTCAGCATGGCAGAATTAAAGAGAAACTTGGGCAGGGGTTCAGAACACACTCAGCTAGGAGCACAAAAGGAGTCCAAGGCACACTATTTTAGGGGCATATAACCAAATCTGAACTTGCAGATAAGTGTTGCTAACGAACAAGCCAGCTATGGACTAGCCTTTACCACAATGGATCTCAGCTCTCATTGTTTCTCTGACCTCCCACGGCTACCTCTGCCCTGCATGAGACATCCCAAAGTCAAAGGCTGAGCTTCTGCCTCTGCAGCATTCAGAAGCCCCTGCTAAACGCCCACACTGGCAATTCAGTAGCTAGGGGAGAAATACAAGATCCTGGCCTCGCTCAGACCTCCAGCTGCCTGGAAGGGATGGGCTAAGCGGTCTGGTGGCAACAAATCTCATGCTTGGCCCCTGAGACATACATATCTGGTCCACCAGGTTGTGTGTGTGTGTGGGGGGCTTCTCTCTGTTGTCACTCCCAATTGCAGCCTGTTGCATGTGGTGTCAACAGTCTGACCAGGCTGGGACGTGGGTGGATAGGGAGAGCACAAGCAGGACATGGGACTTGCTGGGGGCAGCAGTGGAAGAGGTGGAATGAGAGCTCCATATTAAGGGCAGAATCTCAGCAAAACTCAAAATAAGCTTGAAACTTCGTCCAGCACCTGGCAGGTCTCTGAAAAGCACAGGCCTCTATCCACACCTGAGTCCCAGTTGAGCAACTGGAGAGCCAGACCTTTGCCTGGGGGCTATTGAGGGGATGCTTCTGAAACTCCAAGGAATGAAGGTCAGGTTTGAGTCACACTGGGTTGGGAAGATGGATGGAGGTGGGAAGAGGGAGGGGAAAAGTGGGAGAGCAGCATGCGAACCCGCCAAGCACCACTGTCTCCTCCGAAGACCACCCTCAATACTGCCCCAGTCCACGTCCTGCCTGGCCATGGTCCGTGCCCCCGCCCCTGGACGCCGACTTCTTCGGTAGAGGAGGTTTATAGCTGCAAGGAGAACGACCCCGAGCCCAGTATAGGCAGGGAAGGTTGAGGGAGAGGATATCAGGTGTCTCCTGAGGGGGGCAAGAGAGACAAACCCAGAAGAAGAAAACAAAAACAAAAAGGAGAAGGGGAACTGCCGAGAGGCCTAGACTTACAGGGGGTCGAGAAGGGTGCAGTTTGAGGAGAATCTGGACCCAGCGGGGGACAGTGAGGACGCGGCGGG